CACTTTAATTAATAAATGAGTCCATTAATTACTTAATTGAAAGCAAAAGTTTCATTGACCAGTTGAGTACAGAAAAACAGAGAGGTTAATTTAGATAATTGGCCAAATTTGAGTGCGGGCTTACAATTGAAATGTATCTAATGATTAATTAGTAGGCAGAAAAACAGCTCGATTTTTCAACATTCTGTTAATGTAAATAGCCACCAGCTAACTTACTTACTGTGTACAGCTTCTACAATGTCGTTAAAAATCATGTTTAAGCATAAACACACGCTAGCTTTAATGCAACAAAACCAATATACCCTCAAACAAAATTAAAGAATGTTATTCTATAAATGTATATAGTATATTATGTACGTATATTACTATTTAGATTTCAATTAACTGGTGTATTTATATTTTATCGTAGATGTTTTAAAGCGAATATTTTTTTCGAAACATTGATAACAATAGTAGTATTACTAATCTTTTTCTAATTACATGGACATTATTCAAGATAATTGTGTTGTGCTCATAACCCTGTCTTATTAAATTATGATCGACTTTGTTAAAATCTCATATATGCAGTGACATATCAAAGGCATGTGTCTTTCAAAGTAAAAATGAAATTTCATTTCAAAAGGCACTTAGTGTGGAAATGTTAAAGTCAGTGCAAACATCGTTTAAACTTTAATATGTTTTAACAGCAACAGATTTTAAGTACTTGGAATCCTCGTTAAGGGACTTGTGCATTGCCGAATCTCTGCTGGCAAATTTTATAATTTGCAGATGGTTCGCCCTAGTCTTGGTTTCTATCTTTTCCCCCTGTCTATCCTCTTTTCTAGTAGTTGTTTGCTGCCCATTTCAAAGTGTGTGTTTGTCTATGAGTATGATATGTTGAAGGCGACAGCAAGGCAACGAGAAGGCCTCTTGACAATAATCGTTTTCATTACTGTAAAATGTCAACAGCGTCAGCAAGAAGTTGCACAGAAAACAAGATTTTTCCTTGTTAGTGGCTGCTTGACTTTGTCTTGACATGTCGCCGTTGCAGGATATGTAGCTAAAATTTGATGATGCAGTGACACACAAATGCCTATGTGCGAGTGTATGTGTAAAATAGCGCCAAAAATCTAAAACAAACAACTGTGCTCAACATTTTCAAGGCAAAACATTGACGAGGACATTTCTGCTGCGACAGTAACGCCCCATGGCGGCATTTTCTAGCTACTTTTATGATGCACAGTGGGTATATAGAGGGTGAGGGAGTGGATGTGGGTGTGGGTGTGGCTGGCTGTGTGGGTGCTACTTGCTACTTGCCGTTGGCCAAAATGTAATGCTTCAACTAAAAGTCTATAAGAAATGCATTTGTTCAAGTGGAAATGAATTGAATCCGAGCCATTGGTGGTAGCAGAGGCGGCGTCGGCGGCAACGGCGGTAAAATGCAATCTCGTTTTGTTGTCAACTTAACCTCCAAACGGAGGAGATGCAATGGTTCTTGTTATTGCTGTTGTTGTTGCTATTGTTTCTTATAGTGTTGTTGTGGGTGAGCCGTCCTGCCCCGTCTGCCCCCGCCATTGTAAGCAGCCAAGACAGCAGTAGCAGCTAAAGAAGATGACAGCCATTTGGTTGTCTGTAGCTTGTGCCCTCTTGCCTTCCCACCACCCCCTTCTCCCTTCGTGACTGTCATTGCTGGCACTACTGATGCTCGATTTTTAGTTTAAACAATAGCTTGAGCATTTTTGATTGTCAAATGTTTGCAGAGATAACATTTACCATGGCGGATTTGCAGTGAAGCGTAGGAGATGGCATTTTGATGATAGTGGCGAAGGGCGAAGGGTGCGTGGAGCAACGAGGTGCTATGGAGGTGTCGCATTCGCCTGCAGCAGGAAGGCAAGTGTTGTAAGCGCTGTTAACTTTTGCGCTTGAGCTGTCTTCCTGTTTGTACGGAAATATCAATTTGTAAATGCTTGTGTGCTGTTTATTGTGTTCGTTGTTGTTGTTCTTTGTGTTACTGTTACTCCTGTTGTTACTGCTGGCAGTTTATAAACAAATGGCGCGCATAAATGTTGCAGTAAGTCAATTAAATGCCAATTAGTGCGAAGTGCTGAATTCTGTTGCAAGTGGTTAAATCAATTATTGTAAATGAAACTTTATCATTATTTCATCAATTAGAGATACATTTCCTTGATGGGCATATATTTTAAATCAAATTTTAATCAGTGCGATTTCGAATCAGCTTCACTTGTCTGCCTGCCCAGTAATTAACGAATTCTTTCTCAATTAACCAGTAATGACGACTTAAGGATAAAATCAGGAAAAGTTATTGACCCTAAAAATAGCAATTACAAACAAGATAGAACGCTACAGTCGAGCAAGCCCGACAGTAAAATAGCCTGTACTCTCCACAAAAAGGAAAAATTAAAAAAAAAAAAAATTTAAAAAAAATTAAATTATTAAAAAAAATGAATGAATTAATTAATTAAAATAATTAATTAAATTAAATTAGAATACATGTTTATGTTCAGTTTAAACAGCATACATTTACATCACGTACCTATGCGTGTTCATATGCGTGTATGTATGCAGCACAAAGTTGAACAAAAGCAGCAACAACAACAACAGCTGCGGGCAGCGCTGCCGACAGAGCTGCAGGCAGCGCATGAGCAGCGATTTTACTTATGGCTATAACTTTCTTCAGAATTGACCTATCATGATGAAATTTGGCACACGGACACATTAGTACTAACTGGATGTACCTACCAAAATTGATTTTAAAATTCCGAGAATTACGGAAGTTATAAGAAAAAATACGAATTGCGGGGGAGTGGGGGGTGTATCAGAAAAAATAAACAAACTCGTTCTGCCTAGGGCTTATAGGAACCTTGATACCAATTTTGGTTATCCTAGCTCTTGTACTTACTGAGATCCTTGCGCTCATACAGACAGACGGACAGACGGACAGACGGTCAGACGGACAGACGGACAGACGGACATGGCTATATCGACTCGTCTTCTCATCCTGATCAAGAATATATATACTTTGTGGGGTCTGCCACGCCTCCTTCTGTGTGTTACATACATGCGCACAAAACTAGTATAGCCTTTCACCCTTTGGGTACAGGCTATAAAAATTATCATGATTAAAAATGATTACATATTGATTACAGTTGGAGGAATCCCACAAAAACAAATTTTAGATGTGTTTGTTAAGTTTAGTTTTATTAAGTTTTCATTTAGAATTATTAATAAGAGATTTAAGTCCCTCTAATTTTTAGCATTTGGTTTAAATTAGACCTTTTAATAATAATTTATCAAGTCGTTAAGGTGAAATTTATACACGAGTAAGCATTAATGAGACGCGAACTATTTGTTATTCAGTACATATATAATGCATTTAAAAAATGAAAGATTGAACTAAATATATTCAATCAGCAAATACACGTACGTGCAAATTATTCATTTACCCATTTAATCGAATTTGTCGGCATTTTAATTGAAATCGAATTGGAATCCAACCCCTTTTAGGTAATCTTTCATGTATTACCATTATCCACATCGAAATAATGACAAATAATTCGCACGAAATTATTCACATTTAAAGTGCCAGCAGCTTACAAATGTTTACAACGAAATAAATGCAATCACACATCGAATAACATGCTGCTTGCGTAACAGACCATTGCACAATTTTGATGCTTTCACAGTGATGTGAGCAACAAACAAAAAATAAACCATTGCCTACTTTCATGCTGATCAACAAATTAGTCAAAGCTGTCGGGCCGGGCACGCCCATTACTTGCTCTTTTCTCCCGAACATCCACTATCCTCAGTCAAACGCAGTTTGCTATACATTTTACGCTAATTGAAATCGCAATCGAATTACATGGCTGGTCAGCATCAACGTCAACCTCGACGGCAATGGCAACGGCGATGCCGACGCCCTATAAAGGACCCAATGAAAATATAATCACATTTATGCACTTTTTATGCCTGTAGGGTAAATATTTTCGTTGTAAACAGCCAAGGCTTATGGGCGTCAACGGCGACCGCCAGAAGCCCAGGCAGAAGCCCAACAGCAGTCATCCTCGTCGTCAGCGCATTGTCGGCGAACAGCTGAGTAACCATAACATCACACATATACACACATATTCCTCCTATATGCATATGTATGTACATATATGGCCTGACTTGGTTGGTGGTTTTGCGCGGCCGTTGTCCATTTCGTGTATGTGCTGTTGTTGCCATCAGACTGCAGCATTCGTTTTGCATTCAATTCCATTTTTGAGTTCATTGAATTTGTTCTGATTTTTTTCACATTTCACATACATATGAAAATTGCATTAATACGCTTGGTAGGGCAAAACAAAAATGAATATAGCGTGAAATTTATGTTTCATGCTCAAAAGCCAAAGTTATATTTGCCATGCCATGTGTGTCAGTCTATATGCTCGCCTCTGTATGTGTTTCCCTCTGTGTGTGCGTGTGTCTGTCTGTCTGTATGTATTGTTTACAGCATGCATCTAAATGTATGTGTGATTTAATTGCATTTTCTGTTTGAGTTGCCAGCGAGTTGTCTGTCAACCCACACACCAATTTAATAGTTTTTCAATTGCTTCATAATTGTTTATTCTCTCCTTTCCTTTATTTTTTTAGTTCATAAGCAATACCTACAATTATATAGAAATGTAAATATATACAAATATATTTAATTACATACATATATGCAGAGTTATTGACAATGGTTTTGGGCGCCACAGCTGTTGCATTATTAATGACCATAAACTGTAGCAACTTCCGACATTCGGAGTGGATTCAGTAAATTAATAGCCAGCATTTCAACGGAAATTTGCGCGTTCGCATTTGTGTTGACAATGCGAATGTTTTTTATTTATATAGATATGTATATTTATATGATTAATGGTCTTGGCACCATTTGTGCAACTTTAAATATAAATTCTTTGATATTTATTAACGCTATTAATATTATTAATATGATTTGTGTCTTCTCTCTCTATTTACAGTTCAGCGAGCAAAAGGTCCAAAAGGTAAATAAAACCAACTATTTATTTAAGAAAGACATGTCAAAGTGACAACACTAGATTATTTTTTCTCAAGTCACGGAACTGTCAAAAACGAGTAAATATGGAAGTATAACAGATAAGACAGATCCTCACACACACACACACACATTCCCACACACTCAGAGTGAGCGACCCGAACTATAACTTTGAACGAAAGCTGACAGCCGCAATGACCAGAGTGTCATAAATCCATAACTAAGCGTCAACAACATCAACAAAACAGTTTTCTATGACCTACGACGTGTATGTATGTATACTTGTATATATGTATGTGTGGGTGGAAATCACACAGCCATACTCGCATACTTGCTCTCTGTGGGCAACTTTGCGGGCAATGAACCAATAACCCCCAATCGCTGCCTCGGCGCATCGGTCGCGCTTTTAGTAAACAAAGTGCTAGACACTCATGTCAAGCGCAGGCTGGCAGCCTGGCAGACTAACTGACTAACTGACTGACTCACTCGCTCATTCACTGAATATATGACAAAGTGATGTCTAGCACTCAAAAGTGTGCTCGCGATGTCGCTTGTTGTCGTCTGCCAGATAAAATGAAGCATGTTTGCCCAATATGTAACTATGTGGGGGGAGTTGGTTCGAGAAAAACCAAACTATACAAATACACATGGTTATAATTGATACTACTAGAAAGTTTTATCATCATATATCAAACATGGAAGTAATATTTTAGGCAAGAACTGTAGTAAGTAGGGTCGTTGATATACATACTATAATAGCTTCAAGTCGATATGATCGCTGTTTTAAAATAATGGAGCGAAATCGATGTGTTTTTTTTTCTAATCGAAAAACAGAATGTAATCTGAAGGCCATGACATTATTATTAAGAAACTAAGTATTATCGATTGGATAGGAAGAGATTAACTGATAAAAGTAAGAAAACATTAAAAATGCGAGCGACTGGTCATAAATACAAAATTATCACATAAGTTTCTCCAGCGCTTAAGTTAAAATTTCTGTAGGAAATGGAAATGCTAACTACAAGTAGTATAGCCTTTCACCCTTTGGGTACAGGCTATAAAAACCCAAGAAATACGAAAAAGTGTTGCATACCTTTAAGGCGCACGCAGCACCGATAAGGAATGTAACCATTTTTGTAGGCCGGTTTTCATTTTCTGAAAATGTTTCTTCCTAAAGAAAAGTTAGTGGCAAACAATTTGTACGATTAAAATTGTTTTACTTTCCAAATCTTGGTCTTAATACACATACAATGTCACTTTTTGATCCACCCTTGCGTGCGGGTTACTGACTCGCCGTTGACATGCGGAAAAATAAAACCAAAATGCTTTTTAAACAGCAGTAGCATCATCAACAATAAAAAAACATGTATTGTTTGTGTCCATGTTGAAGTTTATCGATAAGTTCAAACTCATCGCTACATGTGCTGTAAGTCGAAAAGGAAGGGTAGAGAACAATGGGCCATAATAAATTTCATTTAACTCCACAAACACACGCTCACTCACACGCACTCGCAGACATGGGGCCACAGGCACGCACCGTGGCTGACTGGCATGCTGCTTGCTCCTGTCGCGCATAAAAATATATACCATAAATATATATATTAAATTTATACATACATATAAAAATCGCTATGAATTCATAAAATTTTTTTTTTGCCAAGCAGCCGCTGCAGCCACAGCATAACAACGGCATTGACAGTTAAATGAATGACTTTGGCGCGGCAGCTTGGGCGCGTCTAGTAGGAAGCTGGAATTTCTTCCTCTTCCACTGCTACGGCCTTTGCCTTTATCCTATGTTGCGTTGGTCGCCACGTTTTGTTTACTTGGAAAATTTATGCAAATCTCTTCTGTTAAAGTTTTTTCTTTTATTTTCTTCCTTTCTTTTTTTTGTTTTTGTTTTTTGTTTGCCGGCGTCGTCAGTGTCGTTGCCTTTCATCAGAATAGTTGCCGCCGCAGTTATGTTTGCTGTAGTAGTAGTAGTAGTTGTTGTTGTTAATATAATAAATATAATAAGATGATGCCAGCATCTGCCCCTGCTCTTATGCCGACATACTTGTATATACATACATACATATCTATACATATACTTGTAGTATATGTATACATGTATACAATAGTTTTGTTGTTGACATCAAAACCGTTGGCGGCATAATGTTTTTATGCTCTGAGCTTTGTCGTAGTGAATGCTGAATAGCTTCATATTTATGTAAAGTTATGCGGTTTTAACAGATAAGTTGAAAGTTTGCTGTGCCCTCTACTGTGTGATGACGGTGCGACAGCAACAGGATTCAGCAACTAGCAGGCAGAAGGCGGCTGGCACAGGAAGCAGAGCATTTGGCACAGGATATAAGCAATAGTGCGTGTTCTGTTATGCCATGAATAGAACGAAAGAGGAAAAAGAAAAACTTATTGATGTGTAGCTTAAGAGTTGCGCTGCTGATAACAAGTTGAATTTGATTTCCCGGGAATATATGCATACAAGTAGTATAGACAGACGGCAGAAGTAAAGGCAAAATGAAGTTTAGCAGAGCACAAGATAAGGATTTGACAACACACTACAGATTTGAAATGCAAAAGCTAAGTTAAAGCTTAAGCTAAAGTTGGTGCATTTTTGAGATGGCAGATAAGTGTTATCTGAATGAAGTTATTTATAACCAAGCCTGAGCTCAAATCCCATATTAGTATGCGAGCACGTAAACGTAATCGATATGCATAAATAAAATCAAAGCCACATGGCTGGAATAACTATGTTGTTCAGTATTAACTTGTAAAGCTTAAGTTGCTCTTAAACTTACCTTATTTAAAAACTATATTTATATTTATTTAATGAAATTTGGTTGCGGCAATTGATTGCCCTTTTTAAACCGAAACATGTTTCAAACTAATTACCAACTTGCCAATTTTTGTTTAATTCCTTTGAAACTTGCAAGGTTCTGTCAAATAAGATGCTTTTGAAATTTAGTTCGATTTTTTCATTACGACTTTTAGAGCTTAAAATGTTTTATAAATTTAATTTATTTTGACACTTTATATTTGTCGCCTTGGCACTAAAGCAAACCATATCCATGGCGACATTAATTACAGTAAATGCTTTAATATACACACATATAGTACCTCAATGAACAAACCTTTTTGCATGTTGTATCTTTGTAAAGCACTTTGATCTTCCATGTTTACCTTTTAAAAAGTATTACCTATTAATACTAACTGTTTGTGGGAGCTTTTCAACTAGTTCAACAAGTATGCCCGTTAGTGAACGTTAAACGCTGTTTTACAATATTTAACAATATGGGACTTACTTGTGCAAGTTTAAAGCTTTCAATTTATGTTACCTGTACAGCAACTTTTATGGAAATTGCATTCAAAGAAATCTACCCAATATGCATGCAGAGGTTTACTATTCCCCCTTAAACTTGTGCATAAATTTATCACACCTTCTCAGCATCGTTTTGCTTTATTGTCAAGCAGTTTCCTCAAACAGTTCATGTGAACTAACATACTTGTCATCAAAACTTATTCCTTTATGACATTGCCTGCCAACACTTTTGATTGCATTTGACAAACTACAGACACTCTGGGCATTATTTATATGTAGGCTATGCGTATAACAACTGCTTTTCAACTCCCAAACTTCTTAAATATCTCTGGCTTTTTACAACTTGCGCTTTGTTAGCAACTGTGGCGCACACTCACCCACACCCACACCCACAGAGATTGCGTATACGCAGAACTTTTACAACACTCCTTTGTCTACTTCAGTTCTTTGAGGCATCACAGTACACTACAGTGCTTAAGTTAATTTAAAATTTTATTAAAAGCTTGTGGCCTGACAGACTTTCTCGTTTCTCATTATACGCACTGGCATGCACACAAATGCAGCAAAATATGATAAATTGCATTTGGCCCTAGCACGTAGCTGGCCAACTAGCTTATTTGCCTTTTAGTCATCACATCTGGAGCTGAACTAAACTGTACACCAGCAACAAAAAGTTGCAGCGCCTGCGTAACCAACGGTTTTTTCATTGTACATTGTTGCATTGTTATACCAGCCTTGGGGCGACTAACCTACCTGTTATTTTGTACTTTTTTTTACTTTGCCACTGCCGTTTTGCATTAAACTCGAATTATTCTTTCTTTTTCGCCCCTTCTGCTATCCTTCGTGCATTGCCCGCGGCATCTGTTTTTCGTTTTTTTACGCTACACCTTTTGTAATTGAGCGTTGAGCATGGTACACAGCCGTAATCTTTGGCATTAGTTGCACTGAAGTTCATTTTCCGCAAAAACCAATGCACCCGAAACCTCGTTGGTAGATTGCCGCAGCTGCTCTCGATATTCGGTGTTTTTTTTTGCCGCACTTAGTGCTGTGAAGTCTCAACCCTTGCTCCAGCTCAATCCTTGCCCCAGCTCGATTAGTGTTGCCATCTCAACCAAGCTCTGAACGCATTCGTCCTTCTTTTTTTGTGTGTTTCTGTAACGCCACATATTGAAAAGCGGCTTTTGCATTATCCTCACAAAACTCGTTATGGTTGTTAGTAAAAATGGTAAACTTTAAACTATTACAAAAAAAGTAATGGTTCTTTATTTTCAACAATTACCAATTTTTATAATAATGAAAACTTCTTTCTTCTTGACCGTTATGACTTTAAAGTTGCACATTCTTACTTGTTATGTGTTGGTTTTAAAAAGGGTTTTATTTAGAAAAATAAATGCAGTTGTAGTTTGAAAAAACATTCAAAAATTTCATAAAAAATCTATTGTTATTAGTAAAACCCAGATAGGGCAAATATATAAAATGATGTTACCTTTCTTTAAATATCAATTGAAAAAATAATATTATTTACAATTTAAACATCAAACAATAAATATAAAGGTGATTGAGTGATAAAATTCGGGAACTGTGTAATTCTTTCTTCATCAGAAATAATTTTATATTGTTTTGAAATAATCTAAAATAATTATTTAAACGTTGTCTGATGGAACTTATACTAA